CACAAAACATCACTCTGTCCTGTGGTATGTATACACATGTCATATTAACTGCACCGGGTATTGGCTTACGTTTTGAGTCATTATGGACAGAGAATGGTAGTAGTTATGTTTCACTGTCTAGTCATCTGAATGACCAATTCGAAAAAAAAAAACTGAAACAGCACACAGTGACAACAAATCACGTGATATAAGTTTATTACGTGAATACTATAAAGTATGCTGAAAAAGACCAACAGATAGCGGAGATTAACGGCGTACTGCCCCTGAGTGCAGGAGTAATCGTAATTAGCATATTAGAATACATCTCCCATTCCAACTACCTGACGTGAAAAGCCTAGAACTGCTGAGCAAAATTGTGACAACTATTGAATCTTATTCCCTATGAACTTCTTTTTTGAAAACGTCTGATATCTTGGAAAAAGTGCGTAATATTTTCATATTTGGAATTCGCATTTCCTATTCAGGTAGAATGAAGATATCAATACGGTGAAACATAATTATGGCACGCTGTTACTTATAGAGATAACACCACGACTGATAAATAATAATGGTCTTTACTCAGAAAACATTATTCCGTTACGAGTCATCGTGTGTGCGTCCGTTGGAAATTGCAGTCGCAATAATATTTAGGTTTTGTTAGACAAATACAATTCCTAGAAAAAACCGAAGTCAACGTAAAAAAATCTAGGAGGTTTGACAAGAAATCACTAAGTTCATTTTCAGGAATGACAATCAATTATAAATAAACACAATAAAGAAGATGATGAGAAGATATTTATTACATATATCGTAAATAGGAAGAATAAATTAAAACATTTGCTATTACTATGTTACGACGCAAATATGAAGTCAAGCAATTCATGCATATGTCAGATATCCAATAAGTACGGCAAGAGTTTCCGTATATTTAATATTCGAACTATACTTTTCGTCCATGCATTGATCGAAACTATACAAGCACTATGTTATTCACACAAGGCGTCTGTAACAAGAGCAGAATGTATTCGATTACTAAGCGAGTTTATATCAAATGATTGTACACACGACACAAGACATTTTACATTACCGTATGTTATGGTTTCAGAGAACGAAGAGCAATAAGATTATAATTCTTTTATATTTTGAAAACATTATATTTTTCTCAACCGTTCATGATCGGTCTGGAATTATTCATTGAAATATAATATGCTGATAACAAGACCTGTTATTATCGCTCATATGTATGTGCATGTTACATATAAATAATAATGGCCACACTTACTGTATTCACAGATGTATCCTTTGTTGCTGGTACAATAAGCATCATACCATTGAAATGCACGTTTCTTCCTACAATGAAATTAATCAATATGTCAAAATTAAATTTCGATTTTAAATTCACTAAATTTGTGCCAGATTTAATGCTTGACTGTCGAGTAAACAGATTTATTTCTACTCACCACAAATGAACACAGTGTTGGCGATCAGATTTGTTGTTTGGTTCACCACCTCCCCAGTTGTTGTACACACCAGCTTCTAGAACTGACCCGTCCAACCAACTAAACGTCCCTTCATTGTCAATATCGTTCAACCCAATCCAGAAGCCACCTCTGACCTCGTCATCTAGATTATTGTACTTTATGTAGTTCGCAACATATGTATTTGATGTCTCTGTGTCTAGCTTTGCCAGTTTTCCACCACGCTCTTCGCAGCTAGCATTTGCCGTAGTCCAGTCCACTTCATCAGTGTTAACTTCAAAATATCGTGAGCCATCACATATAGTATTGGTGACTGTCAAAGCACAATATAATTATGTTACAATGAGAAGTACTGACAAGTCATGTAATTAGTTCAATAAGCTGGCATATAAATTTGATAAGCCCACGTGATCCATATGTCGATCTGTTGTTTTAATTCAATTACCAAATACGATAATACGAATACTATGATATACGTACTTTTACAACAACACGGAATATCCATGGGTAATACCTCACTAAACTTTAAATCAGAAAAGAGAATATCTATTAACACAGCACAGTACACATTTAGTTTTTTTTCTTTAAAATTGAAATAGTTAGGGTTTAAACGAGGCTTATGCTGGAAATAACGCGTAGTATTGCGAAAACCATTTATAGCGACGGAAACACAGATATCTACTTGTTATGGAATTTATGCAAATCAACGATTTGATTTGAGGAATTACTGATTCAAAATACAACCTAAATTAGTAAGGGTTTAATATTGTCAGATTTTTGGTGAAGTACCGAGGAAATTAGCAATTGCTCCAATTACACAATTGGAATTACACGAGCCTGTTTTCATAGGAAGTTCTAAAAATAACAATATATAATATCGCGTGGCGTGAATCGAATAGTGTAGCTAAAACAGTAAATTTTTTGCCCAACTATCTCCAAAGACATTAACATTTGTAACCTGGTACGAATATAAATCACTTCTATAACTTACATATTTTTCATAAGAGTAAATGCACATAGAAATCCCTATCGTAGTTGTAATATACTGTGAAGAAAAAACTGTATACAAACGACTGTAATATACATGTTTATCACATCCCACTGCTGTTACGCATGCTGTGATTGGTTGAGACTCAGTCACATGACATAGAATAAAAATGGATATTACATCGTATGTTACATGGGTATATTACATGGATGACGTCACTGAAACTACTGTGCAACGATACTGCACATAACAAATTGTCGTTCGCTGCACTGGTGCTGCCCAGACGCTGTAGTTTTCGGTGTTGCTTTCAAGGTTTAGAAGGAACTTTACCCATCCGAAATAGACAGTGAACACGCCAGAATGGCTATTAAGTAGTATACTCTGTTTTGATGTTTAGGATATTTTTATATGAAGTAAAAATGTACGGCAAAGCCGAGGTCACAGTGGCGCGTTCTACGCTGTGAGCATTTCTTCAAGTTCCATGCCGATGCTAACCGAAAACTGTGTGAAAGCTGTGTGACTTGTGTATAGAAGGTGTGGTACTTTGGTGCGAAAGTAATTTCAGTCACTTCCACGGCACTCTGCAGGGGCGGATCTAGGATTCTGGAATAGTGGGGGCCTAAGGCCAAGTTCGCGCACGCCGATGGCGCGAAGCCCTGTCGGTTGTTAAAAATAGGGGGGCGCGGCTTAAAAATAACCACCTCACAATGTTTCAACTTTTAAATTGACAGTTAACAAGGTCATTCATAGTAGCATTTTATGGGATTGACGTACTAGAATGAATGGGTTCAATTATCAGTGTTCACGGATGACATCATTGAACTGGCCCTCTAGAGGCGAAATTACGCCAGGAAAAGCAGATGTTTGTCGTCTGCTTCACAGCCCGTTTTATACCTGATATTCAGGGCATTTCACAGCACATGCAAGTTGTTTTCATCGACAGAATTCATTCATAGATCTCAAATTTCATGTACAGAGTGTCAAAAGCCAGACCTCTGCTCCCCTTTAACATGGGCGATTTTGATCAAATGATTTGTTTTGAGGAGATAATCTTGAGCTGACTGATCTCAACTTGGATACCACTGATTCATTCTGAAACAATATCTGATGACCTTTTCTAGGGCTTTGGTCTTGATATTTGCAGAATGTTGATTTCAAAATAAAATGTCATAAAATTGCTTTATAAGCTTTGAATGAAACCATGGGTCAGAAAATGCATTCCAATGTAAGTGAATGTCTATTTCACTTATGTATTCAGTGAAAGTGGATGTAACCAATCAAATAACTACCCATAAATCATTTAAGAAAAAAATGTGTAAAAGAGACAATCAATTTTATTAACAAAGTATTTTTAAATGAATAAAAATTACCTGCCATATCACCATCTATGTTTTTATCAAGTGGGGAAATATATTCCTCCATCACACGATTACAGGAACAACTGTAAAGCCATAAACAATCACCTTGAACACATACTGGTCTCTTTTTTAATCTATTCAGTTCATAATAGTTCCAGGCAAATAAAAGGAAAAAGAAAAAAGCACAATAATTATTAAACAATATAACCACAAAACATAGTAACTAAAGGACTGACCATGACTCATAATGACACAAATTTCACTGAAAAATCAGTATATTGTAAACGCATTAATCTTCAATTTTTGTTGATCAGTAAATTTTGCTAAAACAAACATTCTGTGAACATAAAACAGTTAAATTTGCTCAAATTATCAAAATAGTGACATTAAGTGCCAGTGATATAAATAAATAAATAATGAATATGAAAACCCCAAATGTGAAAGTCATCAACTCACATGTAAACACTTTTTCATGAAATTGAAATCTGGTAGTACAAATACACGAAGGCTGGGGTGGCATGGTGTTATACACAGTATCTTAGGAGCAGTTCTCTCAAAATTCATTGTCAGTAGTAAGGTTCACAGAGACAGATTGTGAAAAACTCCCACGGATTTCATCATTGTCCTGTACATGGGGCTATTTTGCGACACTGAGCTCGTTAACACCACACAAATTTGAAAACGATACTTTCTTAACCAATATTCCAGCATCATATGCACAAAGTGTGCTTACTCCAAATTAATGTGAATTAGACCAAATTTGACAGAGCTGAAAAGATGCACTAAAATCGCCGTCACCTTCCCTGTGACTCCACCTTCGGCGACAAACAATACAATAATTAAATCAAAGCCATGTGAAATATAAACAAATTTGTCATTATGCAAATTGGTGTCAAATATAAACTTGTTTTTGATTAGATAACAGTTGGTAAATTTACCTACAAAAATCAGTTTAACTTGTATATGGCAATAAGGATGACAATTTCCTAAATATCTAATGGCATCGTTTTTTGATATTTTCACATTATATTAAGAATTATACACATTCAGCAGGTGAAACCCTGTCAAAGGTGGTGCTTGTTTTAATAATTTCATCTGATGAAATAAAATTAACAATAATAGTTTCGTCATAATCTCCTAAAATCAAGCACAGTTTTGATGGTGACAGTAACAGATTTAATGTTTACCCCCAATATACATTAAAATGAATGAATAAGAGTTTTTTTTCTTGTACACAGATGCAACAAAAATTGTGTTGTATATTTATTTGGATTGAACTAAATGGCTGCTCATCTGTATATAAATGTAGTATATTATGTAATAATTTAAAATGAAAAGCTCTCGACATTGAGTTACGAAAGCCTCGATTTACAGAAATGACAACGGCCATATTTTAGAATCTAAAGTTTTAGAATTTTAGAGTCATATGTGAACGACGCGACACTGCATAATCAATTTACTAATATGCATGATTACATTTTGAATGTATCAAGGTTTGGAAGTTGATGATTGACATCGAAATACTATCAGATTAATAAATAATATTTTTTTCAATTTTGAGCTTGAAATTGTGAGTTCGAACAAAAGCACTGATCTGGCATTTAGTACAGTACTCAGACGCAAGTCTCAAAGCACGGTGGTCGTCGTTGAATTTCATGTAAATAAACCATGTATTTTACACATGTTGTACACGTCGCTATGAGTCCCATATTGAACATGACGCGGCCCGATAACTGCCGCCCTGGTTTTGTCTGGAACATCCACAAAACAGAATGGAATACTGTAAAAAGAAGCTTTCAGTGGTAAACAAAATATATATACAAACAAGGTGGAACATCATGCGCAAAGTCTCAAAGTAGTTTTATGGACGTGAAAATTGCCTGAACATGCAAAAATAATTTAGCAAGATAGAATACTCATTCGCAAAGTATCTCATTGATAGGAAATGTGTCTAGAACATCCACAAAATAGATTCGGAAGATGTAATATTTGTGTGTAAAGTCTATTTTCGATCCAAAAAATACACAAAAATAGTATGAAATTATAAAAAATTTAAATTTATCTAGAAATTCTAAAAATAGTTTCCAAGGACAGAAAGTATAGATAGTTTATTCTAAAGAGATTAACTTTTTAATGATATGTGAGAAAGTTGTTGGGAAATGTCTTCTTAAATTTAGATGAGAAGTTTATTTGTAAGGCAAGAAAGTTGTCTTGAAGTTTATCTAGAAAGTTAGGGAAGTAGTTCACTCTAAGAGTCCGGATAGCAGTCTCTTGGAACGCAGGAAAGCTTTCAGAAATATCAGTAGCTCTCATGACAATATTCCACAATAGTGTGGTTCATGCAACATTAAACTAAGATCATGACGTCACACTATTGTATTGTGTGCGCTAATTATTTGGGCGAATCAGCACCAACTCAGGCCAACAGACTCAGAGGGAATTCTAGTACTTCTGGTATTTACACTGAAATTTCAGATCAATTTCATTTTTTCCTTGAAGATATTTAAAAATTTTTTCTAGTGGCAAATCATCTATGGAGTGACCACTCTACTAACGGAAAGAATTAGGTAAGTGTCGAAAGCATATAACGATTGGTCATGATCACACATGCATGTATATATGTATTAGTTTTCTGCTCATCACTCTTTGTTTTTCTACACAATAAGAAATTGCAAAACACACTCATGCAGCAATGTTCAGCCAGC